TATATTTACTTTCCTTATTGCTTTTATTTATTAGTAGTAGAAGATATTAGGAGATTTACTAGCATTAGGATTTATTTTATTGCATGAATTAGGAGATCTAGTTAGATTAGACTTAGATTTATTTTGTGCCTATATAAAGGCCCCTTCCCTCTTGTTATTTTTCATAGATTAATGAAAGAATAGTTTGAGTAGTCTTAGTTAGTAGAAAATCCAGAACTTTTGTTCAAACACTTTGCTTTAGTTTTCCACCAAAATTCTATTGCAATTTTATTCGTTCCAAGAGGCGCGGTTGTGGCTCGAAGAACACCTATCGGCGATTCAAGGCGCGGGCTAGCGGCTTATCGGCAGTCGGGACACGCGATCTTCATCATTGGTGCTTTCATTGAGAGGATCTAGATCGTGTGTCTTTTTTCTTCCCCATTCTTTTTCTTTCTCATTCTTTTTATTTTCGTTCGATTCAACAAAATTAAAAAAAAATAAAAAATATTTTCGTTCGATTAATTTTCCTTCTCGGGATTAGTCGAAGGTCTCAACAAAAAAATTATTAGTTGCACACAAGTCGAGTTTTAGAATAGGAGTGGGTTTTTTTTTTGGGATTGGGTTTTGTTTTATTTGCGTCAGTTTGTACTAAAAAAAAAATTATTCAAAGACGAGTCCACGAAGCAAAGAGCGAAGAGAAGAGAAGAAAGCCATGGCCAATCGAGAGATGAAGGAAAAAAATCGAGAGCTTTGAAGGCCAATTCAAAACCATGAGCGAATCTGTCGATGCGAGGTTTGAAGCCCTAACCAGAGAGCTCGTCGACACCAAGGCCGCCATAACCGATCACCGCACAGCGTTGATGGAGGCCATCAACCAAAGGTTCGACGAACTCTTGAGGAATTTCCAAGGCCATCAACCACCACACCACGACAATCGACCACCACCGCACGATGATCGACCACCACCATTCGACGCTCGACCACCTCCACATGGCGATCGACCACCCCCGCATGGTGCTCGACCACCACCCCATGCGCACGACCAAGCTAGGAGAGAGTTTGAGAAATTCAAGCGTGAGCAGGTGGAGGAGTACGAGAGGCAATCGCAGCCTCGAATCATCAAGGTCGCCCACGTATCGAGAAACCGAGGCTTGTGCTGCCCACGTTCAACGGAGAAAACCCCGATGCATGGCTC